GAATGTTGATGCTGACTTTGACTGCGAGACATCTGAGGATGCCGTTCATCATGTGGATAGAAGGCAACCTGAGAGGCAGGGTCCAGCGCCACAGGGCGTTCCACATAGTCATTATTAGCCCTTATAGCACGGATCTGGTCAATAGACAATACAGGGACCTGCTGAAGATCCAGGCTTTCAGGGTCCATCCGAAAAGGTGGTACTGGATCCATTCTTTAAGGGCCACCAGGGTAGGGGCTGAGCTGCAAGGCTGACCAATATCACGGTACATCGGATAAACCTGTTGTAAGAAAAGAATAAAACAAAGGCATCATTGTTAGATTTAGAATAAAATGGAATGGTTTAAGTTTAAATCCAGTCTGCATAATGTGTAAGGTGCAAAAAAAGCAAATGTTCATATGAGTCCTCCTTTTACTCCTTTCAGATGGTCCATGGCTAAAGCTACGGTTATTATTAGACACAGAGGATGGAGAGATAACGCCATTGACATCACACTGTAATTTAGCATCTGGAGAACACAGCTGTTGACACAAGGGAACGGAACCAGAACAAAGAATTTGACAGCAATGAATTGTGAGAAACTGGGGAACCCAAAAGACTTAGTGTCAGTGTCCTGAGGTATCTCTTCCTCAGCAGCTTGGAGGAATTTGCTGTAGCCCCTCCCTGCAGCCCTTCTTTTGTTAAGCCTTATCCTCCATAAACAGGAACAACATGGCTATTGGAATGTGCATGGAAAAAAATCAGCATCCTGGAATTGAGAAACATGCTGCTTGCATTATTGGATGTCATAGCCGAACAAGACCTTGGATTGCACTGGATTAGATAACGACGGGTTTTACTTTCTTCCATCGAGATGTGGAGAAGACCACTTTTTGATGTTTGTCAGACTCTCAGACGGTTTCAAAAGTCAATGTGTGATCAGGATGAAGAGATTGGACAAGAAAAGGGAGCTGCCTCTGACATAACAAGCAACGGAAATCCATACACAACAGCAGTGATTAGAAGAAACAGTGTCTGCTCCCAGTCCCCCAAGCATCCGGGGCACAGTCAGCTGAATTCCTGGCAAGAGCCCTGAATGCTCTCGCAAAAAAAGGTAAGATAGCATCCTCCCCCACCCCCTCTGCCCAGCCAGAAACTCAAGATAAGGAGGCCCAGGTCGGAAGCACAAAATGCATTTGCAAATTACACAGAGGAGGAAAGAGAAGTCCTGGAGAGTAATTACATCAAACCCAGCAGAGCGCTGTAGTCAGGTCCTATCAGTCCATCTAATTGTTGAAAGGGGTCTGCTGTTCATTTCCATGAGCTCATTATTTGGGGCATGACTTCGAAAACAACATTGGACTTTTAGTCTCGCATCTGCAGGCAAGCCAGAGAGGAAGTTTTGGGTTAGCTCATCTGTGTCATGTCAGGCACTTTTGGTTGCATATTTGTTTGAGCATTTGCACATGTCCTCTCCATGTGGTTTTCCTCAAGTGTGTCAGCACTTAAGAGCATTTATCATTCGCGGCTACACTGGAGTTTATTTGGAACTTTCCACTGACTTGCAGTGCTCTTGTATAAAAACAGACCCAAATTACACCTCAAAACGCTGCATTTCCTGGGCTCTGAGAAATAGTACAAAGAAAATTTCTAAACTGCCACTTTCTTGTGAACTGCCCGCTCACCAATAACTCCTTCCACAAAAGTTCCTCCCAAGTTATCATTAATGAAATACCCTTTTATTCTGCGAGTTACTTCCCCTGAGCCAGACCATTTGGAAAGCCACCATCCATTAACCGAAAACTGCCTCCCACTAGCGTTCCCCAACCACCTCCATGCTCACTTTCTCAATGAACATGGCACATTTGTAAAATAAGCTGCGAAGCAGAAGACCAGAGCAGAAGTTGCTATATAACAGCCCCCAACACAATCTTTCACCCCCACCCAAAAGCAGCAGCAAGGGTGCCAGAGGATCGATAAGTCACACTACAGCTGCATAGCAGGCAAGGTGTTGACATCAGGAAGCCCAGCAGATCACCCTGCCACTCAAACCCCCCAACAAAGAGCACTCTACCACTCCCTATCGAGTCCCAGAGCACTCTTTAGCCCCACATGCCCCAGACCGCACACCAGGGCGAGGCTGTACTGGAGCTGTGGACTGGTCTATCATGTCTCTACAGTGGAGCTTGCACAATTGTTGTCTCTTAAACAAATAACTGCTACTTAAGTGCCTTCCAAAGTGCTACTGGCTGTTGTTTAGGGAACATTCAGACTTTGGACATGTTGATTCAAATCTGCTTGCATTGTGACAGTGTACACTAGGATATTGATTGTGTTGTTCAGATGAAGTCTTCTCATTCGTAAGCTCTTACCATCACCTCTTAAAAGCATTAAATGAGCAAGCACCTAGCTACACTTGATTTAGAGTACAATTTATTTTAATGGGGTGATGATAGGGATTGAAGGAAGGAGGAAGGTTAAACTACACTACTTCAGCATTCACTATGCAATAGATCCGTTTAGAACAGCTATCCTGAAGGCAGAGTTTGGAATCTGTTTCTGCAATCCTGCATTCATCCATTCATCGTTTTTTTCCGGTCCCACATCTGAAGACTCCATCCTCTATTTTTCGCAGGATGGTTTTATAATTTAAAAGGATACGCTGTATCTGACTCTCCAAACTTGATAGCATATCTTACACTGGATGAAGTAAAGCAAATCCAATAACCATTCACCACTAATGGCTGTCTGTATTTCTTTTTTTCTTTCGTGTCACAAGAGCCCTGATCCAACTTTGTATCACATTTAAACCACTATAGTAGAGGAATAGACATGCAAGAGACATCTGATCTAAAATAAATAAATACAAATGAATCAAAAAGTTCACCACTAATGGCTGTCTGTATTTCTTTTTTTCTTTCGTGTCACAAGAGCCCTGATCCAACTTTGTATCACATTTAAACCACTATAGTAGAGGGAATAGACATGCAAGAGACATCTGATCTAAAATAAATAAATACAAATGAATCAAAAAATAAAAGGGAGACTTTAAATGTACAAGAAGACAACATATTCCAAGACAACATCTGTCCCAGGTTAAGACACACTTTAAGTCCCAGAACCATGCATACAGCTCAGAGCAAGTGAGAGACAGCTGCATCTGGAGCGCCAGAGAGAGAAAAAGAGGGGAGAGGGCCGTGTTTACTAAGTCCTGCCTGCCATGAGGGGTAACCTGAAGACAGGCCCCTGCGCTTTGGGAGTATCAGTGCTGAGTGAGCTGTACCTCGCGGCTCTGCCCCGGGGCTCCTTGCGCCCGTTACCTTGCACACATCCTTGGCCAGGGTAATCCAATCCAGGGCAGGAAGAGGATGAGAAGAGCATATTATTCATAACAGTCACCTCACACCACTGACTGGGAGAAACTTTAAACCTCTAAACAAGGAGGAGAGAACAGGCAAAGGAGAAAAGGCAAAACATTTGTCCCGTAAAGGGTAGTTGGACAACACTGGAAGAGCTTGAAGATTTTTCAGCCTGTTTATCTATATGTAGGTGTAGCCATCAGGTGAATGAGGTGCTGATGCCATCCGTTTGTTTGGGGGCTGATGGGATGTCGGCCAGTGACATCATGTTGTGGTGCTATTTTAAAGCCTCTAGTCACCTTTCATTAACCCCTGCTGCTGCTGATAAGCATCCAGCAGTTCTGCAGCCAGCCATCAGGCCAGTCTGACTTTCTGCAGTCTAACTGTCATTAGAGATATCCATTTTCCATTTCTGCTCTCTCTCTGACTCAAATAGAGTGGCAGATTGGCAATTGCTGACTGAGGGTTGATTAGCTGGTAGTCGCAGGGGGTAAGGGCCGAGGGCTTCGCAGAGGGCATATGTACTCTCCTAGAGGCCAGACTTAACTGCAGCTGGACTTGAGTTGTCAGGCACCAGGACCCTGGGATCTGCCCCACTGGCCCCTCTGGGAACACAGTAGGATTGAATGACAATAAATTGTATGAGATTCCGGATGTGCCGAATCCGACCCCCAGGAAGGACTGAAATAGACACTGCAGACCAGCAAGTTTGGGTGAGAGAGACACAGAGAGAGACTGAGAAGAGGAAGGGGGGAGGGTCACTTAGAGAAAGGAGGAATATATAACATAAAGTTAGACTCAGTGAGAGAAACACAAAAATGACTAACAAACTGTGGTGTAAATGTAAAACACATTACAGATTAATAATAATAAATTAAACTATTATAACAATTTAAACTAAATTAACTGACAAATTAAGGAAACTTTGAACCACTGTTGTTGTAAACCTATGTCATTCACAAAATTCACATTCTTTTTGCCAGCCTCTACTTTGAGAACTTTATCACAAAACCAGTTCCAAACGCACAGAAACTTCGCAGTTAGACCGCTGTGTGCAGCGCTGTCCCATGTCCTTTCCCACTCAACGTCCAACCTCTCCATCAGTCTCTGCCAGCACAAACTGGGTAATATTGACATCTCCGACCTTGAGGACAATCAATTCCATGTCTTTATGCCCGAAGCCCTGTGCATTGGCTGGGTCAGAGTAGGACTTGTGTTTAGGGCACTACGCGACACACAGAGATCATCTCTCACTTGGATGATATTCTACTCCCATTATATGTCAACTAGATTATATTTCATTCAGAGAACATCTAGAACTAGATCTAGAGAATCTCAAGAGAAAACCATTTGAGCTAAAAAAAAGAAAAAAGAGTAAAAAAATAGACTAAAACGATTAAGACTAAGACTAAACGAGATTTAAATAAATCACTCAGAAGAAAGACACGATTCTTGTGGAAACGAGGGCAACATGTCTCACGGAATATCCCAATTTATTTGAATAAGAAACAAAAATGTCCCCGGGGCAAAGTAACGGAGAGGAGCTTTGCTTTTCAGAAGTACTTCCACATAACAGTGTGGAAAGAGCTCAGCAGCGGCTATGTAGTTTGTCTTCTCTCAGAATGAGCTGAAAATGTGAATGTTGGATTGTCTCTCTCGGACTCTCTGTCTCTCTTTTTCTCTCTCTATCTGTGTACGGTCAGTGCTTCCTGCTCGTGCGATCATCCACTCACTCCCAGAGCGTGTGTGTGTGTGTGTAAGTATATATGTGTGTGTGTGTGTGTGAGAGAGAGATAGAGATGGAGGGTGGGAAACAGTGAGGGAGAGAGGGAGGGAGATGGGACGGGGAGAAGGAGGAGGGGTGGTTGGATATGAATGGTAGAAGGAAGGAGGCCAGGCGGAGGGGGTTGGAGTGGGGGGTACTTGGTTTTGCTGGAGATAGTTAATGGCTAAGTGGCATCATCGGGCTGAAACCCAATCTCTCATTTTCTGCCCCTCAGGAACTGTTCTATATGATTCCCTGAGCTAAGCCTAACAAGATGGACAGAGGGAGGAAGAGAACAGGAGATAAAGAGAGAGAGAGAGAGAGAGAGATGAAGACAGTGAGAGATGAACAAAAAGAAGGAAGATATGACTCAACAATATGATAGGTGATGAAAACAATGAGGGAGAGAGATGAGAAACACAATAACTGACAAGAACTTCATGGAGAAAGTTCAAATCAACAAACTCCAGTCTTGCTGGTCTTACCCTGGCATACAGTAGATGCACCAATAAGTATTGGGCACTTATGCTACAGTTAAAAGTATGTATTCTGTGCATTAGAAGCAACATATCACATTGTAAATGAATATGCACCGAATGCACTGGCTGGAGCATAAAATACAGGATATGTGTTCATGACAGGCTATTGATAGCACATGGAAGGTATCTCCAAGGTAACAGGACACATTTTGTGTGTATGTAAGCATATGTGTGTGTGTGTGTTAATGTGAGTGTGTGTATGTCTGTGTGCGTAATGGGGCAGGAAGAGGGGTGCTTCCTGGCTTCCTGTCGAGGGAAATAGCTAGGATGGCCAAACAGTTCAGAGAGAAGAGAGTGAATCAGGTTTCTCTATACTGAACACACTCAAAACACATGACAGAACAGCTTTAGTGCAAAAACAAAATCTCTGCTAATCTACATAAACACAATGAAATTTGTTTTATTTGTGTTCTCTCAGTGTGTTAGGAGATGGATGTTAATTTCCTGAAAAAATAACAGTAAAATTCTGTTTACTGGTATCTGATTTTTGTCTAAATTCTGTTTACTGGTGTCTGATTCTACTCTTTATAATTCGTGGTCTCAAAATATGCAACTATTCATAAAACATAAAATGATACTCAAAAAAATATATACTCAAGTTTAGGTAATGTGTCCAAATCCAGTGCAAAAAAAAATAGTTACCATATTTAATCAAACTTAAGTAATAAATATGTTACATACTATACTTATGCTAATAAATTTAACATACAGTACAGGAAACATTTTAAAAAGTTACTGATAAGCAAGTTTTAAAAAGTTTTTTTTTTTTTTTTTACTTTAGAAACTGACAGGAAAATAAAAGGCAAAAGAGACGCTCTCATTAAAGTTCTCAGAATTTTTTTTTCTAACATACATAATGTTTATATGTTAAAATTGTATTAAAAAAAAAAGAAAAGAAAATACAATTTAACATAATTTAAATGTAAATGCATTATTATTTAGGACTCTAAGATGGAATAAATATTTGAAATCAACGTCCTCAAACCTATTACCTAAAATTGTTAATCTTATAAATTATTAGCTGATTTGATAGTCATTTTACATTAAATATTTAATAACTTACAGTTGTTGTTGTTATTGTTTTTTACAATAAAAATAAATTATAATGTACAGTAATCTGATAGGATTAGATCTTTATAAAGATCTGTTTCAATGATATTGGAGTGAAGTACAAATTCCCCGAAATAATACATTTATAGCAATGACGTAAAATTACTCAAGCCCTTTTTTATCTTCTTCCATCTGTATGATGCAATAGCATGTATCCATCTCACTTTTTATCAGTGTGTGAGTGTGATGGGAACATTGACTGGTTTGCATTTCCCCCCAAGGCCTGTCACTGCCTCAGCCCATGGCGATCATACTGGCAGGGAGAGAGAGAGAGAATGAGAGAGAGAGGCAGTACTGGGCCATAGAAGGATCAATGTTAAATGGCCTGGTTAATGACCGGCACACAGCTGACAAAGTCATTCATTTCTGCCAGCACTATGTATTCTGTGTGTGCGTGAACCAGAGCAATTTGCACGTTTGCCTACGTGAAACACAAACATGAAAAAGAGAGGTAGAATTAGGACATAAAAAGCAGAAAAAGATACCAAACAGGCTAGAAAAATAAAGGAAAGCTCAATGGACTTCTGATGTTGGGGTTTGATAAATAGAGAAACTGAGAGTGCTTGTGTGAATGTGCGTTTGTTCTGTTATGACAGTGTTAGTGTAAAGATCACTTCCCATGTCAAAGCACCACTGCAGATGAAGCTGTAATATTGAGTTACAAAACACCCCTCACTCAGGGCCTTGCCTCATCCAGATTGCTTAAAGGGATAGTTCACATAAAATAAATGAATATTCTGTCACCGTTTACTCAGCCTCACCCTGTTCCAAACCTGTATGACCGTGGGACACAAATGGTGATTTTTTGAAGACCATCTTTTCCATACGATGAAAATGTTTCAAAAGGACAAAAAAAAAAAAAAAACTGTTGCGGAAAGTTACTTTTAAAAGTAATGCATTACAATATTGCGCTACAAAAAGTAACTAAGTGCATTTACTGCAGTTACTCTTTATGGAAAGTAATGCATTACAATATTGCGCTACAAAAAGTAACTAAGTGCATTTACTGCAGTTACTCTTTATGGAAAGTAATGCATTACAATATTGCGCTACAAAAAGTAACTAAGTGCATTTACTGCAGTTACTCTTTATGGAAAGTAATGCATTACAATATTGCGCTACAAAAAGTAACTAAGTGCATTTACTGCAGTTACTCTTTATGGAAAGTAATGCATTACGTTACTGTTGCGTTACATTTTGTCAACTGGGCTGGCCTTGATTATTTGTTTAATAACAAAAAACTGACGTTACTTGATAAAGTAACTCAGATATTTTAAGTTTAAAAGTGATGTGTTACTTTACTAGTTACTTGAAAAAAGTAATCTGATTACGCAACTTGCGTTACATGTAATGCGTTACCACCAACACTGAAAAAAGCACACAATATCAAAATGTCATAAACATGTATACGACACTATCTACCTTATTTTGCAATAATGAAGTAAGCTATTTCTTGTGAATGTGAAAGACTGATTCATTATAAGCTGTCAAATGTAAATAACTAGAAGAATAACAAAGCGCAGTGAACGGTAAAACTATTTGTGCTATAAACCAATGTGTTTCAGATTACGACAATACATTTAAATGATATGATAGCAATTTTTTGCAGTATCAAGCAGCATGGACTGTTTTATACAGCTAAATTTACTGGAAGTGACCGACACCAGAAGACTTGCTTTAAAAAAAAAGGCCCGTGAAAGAACAGACAGAAATTTAAGCTGTTATTTACTGAAAATCATCCACTCTAGCTGTCATTGGCATTGTTTTGCGAGTTCATGGTAGATGTGATGTGTGATTTGTGAATTAATGCTTTTTTGAATCTTTTCAATGAACTGACTGGATTTGATTCACAGAACCCCTTTGAGTGATTTGTTCATGAATCAGACCGAGTTGGTTGTCAAGTTCAACTCACTCACAGTAGTTATCAGCTTAAAATTGAAATGTGCACGAGTCATATGAATCACTTACATTTACAGTATCTCTGCATCCTTTTTGAAGCTTGAAACCCCTATTCACTGCAGAGTGACCAGTACAGAATTAAAAATTTGTCATTTTGTGTTCCACAGAAAGAAAGTCACCCAGTTTTAGAATGACATGAGGGTGAGTAAACAATGATGTTTGCATGAACTGTCCCTTTAAACTAAACCCCAGAAAGCAGAGTGAGCCATTCTTGCAGATTCCTTGATGTATCATTTTTAAAGCGGCCTTAACCCCACACACTCAAGCGGAGCTTATTCTTCCAAACAACTAGTCAAGCCCTCTCATCCTCCTGCTCTGTACCACTGAGCTACGTAAACACCACCATCTGTATCTGATCAGAATTAATGCCCACCCCCCTCCGTTCTCTCAATCTTCCCCTGCTGCCCCTCTCCCAGCCTGGTCCCGTACACACATGGAGATACTTACAAATCATCACCCCATTACATGGACATGGGCGAAGATGTGAACACACACACACATCCACAACCCATCAAAACACACCCCAAACTCCTCTCGCAACACACAAACACACATACCCCGTTCCACCCTTCGCACCACGCAATTGTCGCTAATAGTTTGGGGGTGAATTATCCATATTCCATTAAGTGAAGTGAGCTCTCTGATTGGCCGAGCCGCCGGCCCCTCGGAATAGCCGAGCTGGCCGACAGCCAGAGGCTCATTTCCTGCCGTCCTGAGAGCCTCCAGCCGCTCCCGCTGCAAATGCACTTCCTGACTATGTATAAAATTTTTATTAATGGCCAGGAGTGCATCAGCAAAGGCTCAGCGAAGGAGAAAGAGAGAGAGAGGATGACAGAGATGGATGGAGTGAGGGGAAAGACAGCATTAAGTATGATTGAGCTCTGATAGAGGGAGGGAAGAAGGAGAGTTTCCAGAATGCCCTTTTAAGAACATCTTTAAGACAGTGCAGACCTGCCGTAAGTGTCTGTTCGTTGTCTCATAACCAGATAAAGAGAAAACAGAGGAAGAAATGGGAAGATAAAATGAAAGACAAGACTTGATGAATGAGAATGAGAGCAAACACTTTGAGACACCAGTATGTCCTAATAAATACTCTGTTTGGGGTCCGAGACACTGCTGAATGGTTTAAACTGTCAAAACCTAGGTATATAGACTGAAAGGAGACTGAGAGAGCATGCGGAAAGATAACACAAATGAAAGCAGTGGAGAGGTCAGGAGGCTTATGATCGGAGATAGAGCGGCAACAGAAGATGGAAAGGAAATGTCTAGCCAGGCCACGCCCCCCGTCAAAA